CATTTGTGTTTAAAGATATTCCTGTTTTAATTTCCAACATTGAAAATACATACACACACACACACACACACACGCACACTCCATTAGTTGTCAGTGATGAATGTCCTCCCAGGCCATGTAGCCTCTGGTTAAGCTGTGCTGACATTCACGGAATATGAGTGAAAAGGGCAAATAATGTCTTATATTATGAAAATAGTTTTGACCTGACTAACCCTCTGAAAGGATCTCAGGGGCCCCCTCAAAGACCACACTTTAAGAACAACTGCTCTATGCAAATGTTTCAAAGAAATTTTAGATATAGACAGATAATTGCTGTTGCAAGTGATTGTATCGTGAGCAGAAGTATTACCTTAAAAATGCCATCATAAGCACAGTCTTGTATTTCCAGGACCTTCATCATTCCAGGCACAAGGAATACAAACATATCCCCTAGGTGTACTGGAATACAAGAAAGGTTGAAAATCATTCGACCATATTTTTAACCTCCTCCACCCCACAAATTTGAAAGCTGCTTTGCTTCCTAATGAAGAGGTTTTTTCCTTTTAATTCGGAAGACAATTTGATGTCTCGTTTCAGGTATGTGAGCTCTTTGAAAGCAGAACGCTGTTGTTTCCATGTTCTCCTCATTCGGAAGATACGAAGGCACAGTTCCTGCCTGTGATTTGGGCAGGGCAGTGGCTGCCGTGTGGCCACTTAAGTATTCTAAAAGAGGTGAGTGTGTGGCACTTAACTCAGCCTGGGAGAGGGAGGAATTAGGCAGTGCTTCCTAGAAGTGACTTTTGAGCTATATAGGCATTAGGTTGAAAGGCGCATTCCAAGTGCCTAGTGATCTGTGGCTGGTTTCTAAACTGAATTGTACATAAGACACTGTCTGGTATCTTACACCTTTCTCCAGAGCTCTATCCTTACTTTTGAATACTTGTTTTCCTTCTCTCTCCCTGCCCCTCTCCCCCTTAACTGGATGGGATATGAAAGGAAGTCAGAATGTAGGAATCTCTCTGAGTGGCAGAATAGTAGGATGGGCTTACCAATACGTAATGTATGTAGTCAGTAAATTTATCTCTAAAAACTGAGTTCCTGTTCTGTTAAAACACAGCTAGGAAATCTCAATTTTGTTGGGTGCATGCTTTCCCAGTGAATGGATTATGTTCTTGTCTCCAATCCAGTATATGTGGATTTAAGGGCATCTCCTAAGGTCCCTTCAGACAAGAGACCCACATGTAGGCTTGGGAATGAACAGGGGGGATAGCAAGATGAGAATCCAAGTTCAAAGAAAAGATGCAGTGACTGGTTGGAGTCTTCTTTCCAAATCTCGAATTCTTATCTTGCATTTAGATCTATTAACCATTGATTGCAGTGCAGCAAGCCTATGTAAGCCTATGTTCAAATCTCTTAAAGCTTCAAAATAATAAATTATTATTCCCTTAATATCTTAATATGCTAGGACAGTGTTTTAAAAGCTAGACTTGGTCATGTTCTTCTGGAGACGAAGAAAATAGAGTCCTTGAAGTCAAGCTGACTCTGCTTTTAGCCTCCTAAATGAAAAGGTAGATAGAACAGGTCTTGTTTGCAAAATAAAGTCAAGACCTACTTATCTACCAACAGTAATTATATACCTTCCATTGTCTTACTGTAGAAAAATAGCAGTAGTAAATTTACAGATTAGAAAGGGTAGAGAAAAAGAGAGTGAACCCATGAGAATCTTACTGTATTCATTGATAGGAAGGTGACTAGACACTAGAGACGTCCTTTAGGAAAGAGGAGAGGACCTTTCTTGTAGTGTGGCCTTCAGACGGTCCAGGCAGTTTTCGGCAGCTAAACTTCCCTGGCTAGAAACCCACAGTCTCACAGAATGCCACATCGTGGTGCAGTGTACCGGGAGCAGCTGCCAGTGTGTGAGCTGTGTGAGATCAGGATTTTAACAAATTCTGGAGGATGAGAAATATTTTATTGGATGTGTACAGTGATTGCTTATCATCGTTTTAACTGGTAGGAACTCAATTATTAATCATACTTTCCCAAATAAAAGGCAATTTAATTTTACCAGAAACCAATGTCATTTTATATCCCAAGTCTAACCAACTTTCCAATCCCATCTAATAAGGGTGCCTTAAATTCTGAGTGTTCTGAATTACTAAACCCATTATTTTACATCAAGATTCTGTGCTTGTTCTACATTCTCTTTCCCCTTTGTTGACAGTATCCAAAGCTATGTTAGTAATTGTTCAAGAGTTATACAGTGATGTCAGTAAAGCAAAGAACAGGACAGATTTTGATGCCTTTTAACTGCCCAGTGTCAGGGATTGTGGCCGCAGCAGTCTTTAAAAATATCTTTTTTTTTGTTTGTTTTTTAACAGATTTATCAGCAGGTTGCAGGTGAACATGGCCTTGAGGTAAATCTGCTCCTTGAAGTTCAGTTTCAGCAGATTATTCATAGTATTTTAAGGAATTGGAATATTTTCAAAAACCAAGTTTTGTTTGATTCTGTTCTAGACTTATTTTTTCTTCTTGTAGAAGATGAGAGAAAATTTAAACAAAAGTTCTCTATGCTGAATAATTAGGATGCTTGAAGATGGTCATCTGCCTTGCTTAAATCAAGTGGATATTAAATGTCAAAGCCAATTCTAGATGGTTTTTTCTTGGTCCGATAAAATTTTACCAAAACTTCCTGGGTGTCAAGTTTTTATCCATGTTCATATTACATGTGAAGTACTCCATAAAGCCTAGATTAATTTGAACTCTGATTTCAAACCTGCCCTATCTGTGATACCCTACTTCCTATTCCATAGTTTTCTACTGCCGTAGCCGATAACACTTTTGAATACACACATATGTATATTTTAACTGTTCATAACTTAAAGCATCTCTGTGCTTACATCAGCTGTACCTTGTTTCAGGGTAGTGATTCAGCTTGGCAGGTCAAGCTGTGTGTGTGTGTAACAACCTGTAAGATTTGTCAAGGTGAGTTGTTAATTCAGGAATCTGAGCTGCTGTTCATACCAAGAGGCAGAGATTAGAGATAGGAAATGAGAGGTGTTCAGCGTGTCAGACTGAGTGTGCTGGAAAACATGAAAGTTTTAAAGTGAAAGACTTTCCAGTAAACACAGAACTGTAAGTGGTGAGATGAGGGGCCTGTCTGTTCAGAGAGGCATCCGTGGGACACGATGCTGAATTGTCTCTGGGAATTGCTTCAGAAATGGAGTCATTTGCTCGGCATCTTGACTCATAAGCTTGAGAATAGTGTGTGCAGCATTTTTGGGTGGCAATTAGAAACCTGAACTGGAGAACCAGGAATGTAGCTAAATGGGGCTGGGCACCGAGGTCACAGAAAGGCATGAGAGCAGTGAGGCAGGGCGGCCAAAAGCTGCTGGCTAGAGCCCACTCCCGCCAGGCTTGGCTCTGCACTTCATGGGCAGATGTTTTAAGAAATTGTTGTGCATTTGCTATATGTCACACACTGCTCTGCACTCTCACGTTTGTCATTAAATCTCATAAGACAAAAAGCTATTCTTTTTCTCTCTGTTTAAAGAGAAACGGAAGCTCTAGAAGATAAAGTGACTTTTCTAGAGTTATAAGGCAAAGTAGCTACAAAGTAGAAATCACACCTAGGTCTTGATTTTAAATCTGGTTCTCTTACATTAATGGACATTCCTAGAATCAGTCGCAACTAATGTTTTCTATTTTCCCCCATCTATCCTGCCTCCGTGCCCCCAGTACACACACATAGTGAAAGCACCACATTTGTGTGTAGGCTTCTGTGGGATGCGACGTGTGTTGTGTAAGTAGTGTTCCATCTCCCCCAGTCTCGCTGTCAAGCCACAGATGCCTTCCTTGCCCTCCCTCCCACTGCCTCCCCTCCAGGTTCTCTCCGTCTCCTGGCCTACGGCCTTTGCTGTCCCTCCAACGGAGAACAGAGAGGCTGAAGAGTAGTGGTTGGATGAGGAAGATACTCTTTTATTCAGTAGATATTTCGTGTGCACCTTTATGTGTTAGCCCTTGGGAACTGAGTGATGAACAAGAAAGACACCGTCCCTGCCTTCGTGGAACAGGGCAGAGGTCCTTTCACCAGGGGAAATGGGTAAATACTGTGAAGGAGGAACAGGGCGTTATAAAGAGTGTGCACTGTGCCACTAAGTACTGGGAATACGGGAGAGAAGGGCACGTGGCTTCCTGGGTTCCCTGTGGACAGTTTCCTGCCTTCTCAAGTGTGTTCGTGGCCGACTGATGAAATGTCACAAGGGTGCTGGGGCTGCTGCAGCCACTGACAACTTACGTGTCACTCGCCGCCTCCAGATCTGTAGGCCTTGGAGACTCGGTTATTTTGCAGATAACAAACCGGTCAGTACAATTTGACAATCTGAAAGACCTCTGAGTTCATTTAGTCTAAGCCATCATTTTACAGCCAGGCCTGGTAATGACTAAGCATCACAGAGGTGCACGGGACTAGAACCCAGGTCACGTAAAGCGAGTGGCAGTACACCAGTCTGCCAGATGATCACATGAGCTACAAGCGGTGCTGGGGCTGCTGCCTGAATAAAAAGTGGGCGGCAGAGCAGACGGAGCCGGGCATCGGAATGCTCTAGTAGAAGGTGATGTGCTTTGGCACTGCAACGCCATTGTGTATCTTTAGACACCCAGGCTTTTCCAAAGAAAAACAGGGATGCACAGACTGGGGGAGCTGACAACTAAATGTGTACAGATGCTGAGAAATGTCCACGTTGAAAAATGACAATTTTGAATTTTCATAGTCTAACAGAATGCCAATCTTCCTTGGGGAAACTGTTATTCTTATATCTGGAGTCATCTTGTTGTGTAGAAATTCATAGTTATGCCTGAAAATTAAATGTTGATATAACAGATCTTTAGAAATTCTGTAGACTAGCTACTTACAGAACACTTTTATGTTAATTTTCAAAAACTATGATTGTGTTATTACATGACTACTAAAGTAAGAGGCCTTTTCCAAAACTATCTCTTCTAAAATTTGTCCTAAGAAACTTATACTTTTAAACTCCTTGTTTTTGGTCAACCTCTCAACTAAGAAACTTACATACAGTATAATAAACTCATATTGCATCAAAAGTTGTATAGAAATAGAATGTTTTAAAATTTTGGATTTCAAGGTTCAGATGAGTCTTTCATAATAAGTAGGTTTGAAACAGGGAGCCTCACAGTCTTTCATGTAATAAAATGGGCCTTTTGGTATAATCTGAGCACAAGTGCTCTAAGGCACCCAATTCTTAAACTTTCAAACTGAGCAGGGCATCTTGGGGGCCTGTCACCCTTCAGCATCATAGAGCTCTACCCCTCTTTCACCACCCTCTGTGTCCTGTATGCTTTGAAAAAATGGCCAAAACCAAAACCAGCCCCAGGAATTTCCTAACCCTGCCATCTTCCGATGTTTGAAGAGCTCTGTGCGCCAGCAGGTTTGTCCACACGACGCGGTCGAACACTTGTAATACAATCTAAATGTGTCAGAGCCAGCCGGCCTGTCTCCATCCCAGTTCACCCGTCTTCCCCTAGGCTGCTTTTCTTAACCAAGCAGCCACCAGATGCTAAATGAGCCCTTCCCTCACCAGCAACAGGGTCTCTGACTGAATCGCAACGTACAAGTCAGCGAGGAAACCTTACCCTCATCCTCCACCCGCAACCCTGTCTCTTGTACATGGGAGTGCAAGAAACTTCTGCTCTGGCACTCGGCTTCTTGCCCTTCCTTTTTTATCCTAGCTCGTGTTCCCACCTCTCCTGTCTCCTACCTTCCCCGATCCCCACACTACAGACCCTGCTCTTCCTTCATGCCCTCTCAGTTCTCCTGTGCCCTGTTACCATTCTAGGACGAGAGACTGATTTCCAGCATCACTCAAGGCAGAAGCTCCGAATAAAAGATCCAGCTCAGTGCACAGTGTTTCTCGCATTCCCCAAACTGGGTCTTAAGTCCAGTAGAGGGTACTATAGTCTAAATATCTTCCAGGGGGAAAGCTGGTCTTCCCACTTCCAATTGCCTATGACAAACTGTTTAACTAACCATGATGGAGGCTCGTGGGCAAAGAACACCAGATGAAACTTTAATAGGATTCAGCAAACCAGCAAGCATCAGAGGCTGCCTAGTGCCAGGGGTGCGGGGAGAGGAGTGTGAATTTTTTTTGGCAATTTTTGAGATGAAGGGAGGTTGCAACCATGGTCTTCTAGGTCTGAAAGTGCCCATTGGCCTGGGCCTCCTGGGGCTTTACCAGCTGTGTGGAACCACCCCGTGTGTACAGGACGGCGCTCAGCAGCAGAAGCAAACCAGTCAGCCTTGCCCTTTAAACCTCTGCCCACATTTTCTTAAAAAGATGGAACTGGGGCTTCAAAGCAATGTCCATTTCTAAAACTGAAGCTGAGCACAGATGAAATCCAGTTGCTTAGTGGCTGCGAATGCTGTCAGTGGAGCCCACCTGGTTTTGAACCCAAACTCAGAATCTGTGTTGGGTGGAATACTTAACTGCTGTGAGGCACAGCTTTCTTATTTTGAAAATGGGATAATACATTTGTGAGAAGGAAACAAGACAGTGCGTGGATGAGTATAGAACAGTGCTCGGCACACTGTCAGCTCTGCATGAACGTTAGCTGTTTTTGTCTGACAGAAAAGCACCCAAAGCTGTTCTCTCCCTTCTCGTCCGGACTGCAGGGAAAGGGGCTGAAAACAAGTCCTGAAACATCTTAGAATTTAGAATATTTTCTAGCATGTACTGTAGGCCTTAGTTTCTTGTTAGTGAAAACCTCTTTTTTCAAACGTGAACTTCAGTCTGGGGTATGTAGACTGTACTTTACCTTGATAATGCCCACGTGTGCCTCATGCACCAGGACAGGCCGTTTGCTCCCAGGTCCTCCTGTCTGGGGACATCTTCGAAGGCCACTCCCACTGTGTAGTCCAAATGCTCGTCCACCTCCACCTCCCAGTAATGGCGCCCTCGGACTGGAATTAGATTCCCCATGACGGCGACACACCTGGTTTTAAAGTGGAAGCATATGTGACTAGGGGTGACCGCGCCTGGCTGTGTGGGTGTGTGGCGCCGACCGTCGGGGCAGGTCAGTGGTGGACCGCACTTGTGGAGGGAGGTGCTAGAAACAGCTCCCCCCGGAGGGTGGTGCACCCCAAGCTCTCTCAGCCCACCCGCTGCTGCGGAAGGTAGATTCCCGCCAGTGACGGGACAGGAGGGGCAAACTGACTGAAAGCTCTTGTTTTTTAAAATGATGGGGCGTTTTCGTAACAAAAACAAAGGTGTAGTTCACTTGTTCATAAAGAAAGGGACTGAACCCTAACAGAACGCAGCAGTCTGGGGCACGGCCTTTCTTGTGCACAGCCCCTCGGAGCTCCGTTTTCCTTGCCAGATGGGATGCTGCCCAGTTCATGAATCGGTGAATAAAGCCAGGAAGATCTCGTTGAATTCTATTTCCTAACACTGGTATGACCTTTGTTGCTCCTTACTTCCCACGCCCCCCAACCCTGCGGTGGATGGGCAGAGGCGGAAAAGGATGCTGTTTTCCAGTGCACCTTATGCAGTTCTGTTTCACACTGACACATACATAGGTGCTTAACATGTATGCAGTCAAAAAGCCAGCCAGGAGCCAGCGTCTGAGGAAGAGCCAGCTGCGGGGACAGTCCAGGACCCAGGCAGGGAGGCTGCACGCAGTTTTCCGTCAGTGGCCCCTCCGGCCCCCACGTGAGAGCCCCTTCTCTCAGAAGCCTCCTGGCCCTCAAGTCAACCCACTAAGACTGCTCTTCGGTCTGACTACCAGGAAGCTGAGAGCCACGTTTAATGTGTCATCGTGGAAACAGAATTAACCCTTGAAGTTAACCTATCTGTGTCTTTCATTTTCTTCCATGCTTTGATTTTTCTAATTCAGTGGTATGTATTTGCTCCTTGTTCTAAGTCTTCCTTCAGTCTTTAGAAAGAAGAAAGATATAAACAAATCATTTCGACACTGACTGAGTACAAGCTCTGGAAACGGCTCCAGACCCAGACAGAGCCATGTCTGATGGACCACCGCTCCCGCCAGCCATGCCTAGCACAATCGCCACTTCCGCCAGCAGCTTCCCGTGGGCTTTCCAGCGCCGGTTCGTCACCAGGAGTTTTTAAATAAGGTTTCACATGTGAGAGAAAGCGCCAGGCTCAGCATTCGGAGTGCAGGGTCCTTGTTTCTTTCTCCCACGGCGTGACAGTGTGACCCTCATGCCATGGCTTTGTGGCCTGACACCTCCAGCTCTGGCAGCCCAGGGCCGGAACTTGAGAGGCCACATGTCCCTTCTGGCAGTACCAGCCTCTCCCTACCATGCCCCTTTCCCTTCACTCATTTCTGGGACTTCTTACCCTCTTCCAGGCTGCATCAGTCATAATTCGATTTTGCCCAAACCGCAGCATGATTAGGGAGGTTCATAAAATTCTCTAGTGAGTGGTACACAGCACTTACCTAGAAAAGCAGGTGTTGCTGGGGGGCGGCTCCCTTCCTGGAGTTTTCCTCTCACTTCGTACAGCTGTCAGCCCATCCTCAGAAATGGTCAGCCAGGGATGGCATGTGCGCTGGTTCAGGCGGAAATAGCTGCCTGCAGGGGAGCAAACCCATGGAGATCCGCAGCCAGTCGCCCCTCTTTCTCAGCACCGCCGCCATGCGGACGCAGGGAGCACTGCAATCCCGCCTTGGCTTACCGATTAACACAGGTCAGCCTGGACCTTACATAGTAATGACCCTCATGCTAATGGGAGTGGCAGTGGACACCGACTGGGCGGTGACTGCTAAATACTGAGCTAAGCACTTTGCATGTTGTATCTCGTTCAATCCTCACAATTACCCTTAGAAACAGGTATTATTTCCACTTGTAGATATGAAAACTGAGGCAAAGGTGGTTAAGAAGTCAGCTGGCAGAAGCCAGAACTCAAATTTGAACCCTAAGGCCCTCTGATTCCAGAGGCTGTGCTCTGAACCGGGGGTTGTGAAAGTCTGCACAAAGACAGCATTTCTGACCTACAGGGACTGGGGACTGAGGGACCATTCAGCGATCAATATGACGAAGGTCAGCAAAATTCAACATTCAACTTTCTAGTAGGGCAATGGGGGAGAAGAGATGACAGCCATCCCCAAATCATGGTCAAAACAAAGCTCGGCAAAAAGGGCACAAAAAATTTAATAAAAACTTACTTAGTAAAAATTATCCGTTACTTAGGAACATAGTAACTCATTCTCCATTATTGTCTTTTGGCCAAATTCTTAAGTTCCTGTTCTGCCACTTCTCATTGTCTCACACCATAGTTCAAGCATCACCATCAAGCTGTTCACAATATCGTCACAATTTGATGCTGGAAATTTTATTTGCCATCTAAGCTGACTGGGAAGAAGCAGACAGATTCTCACCCTGCATCTGACACCGTGTGGCCCTTACTGCCTGCTCTCTAGTCCCAAACAAGGACGACTTTGGAATATATAACATTTTTTGCTGATTCAAGTTCACTTGAGTTTCTTGCAAATAATGTCTTAAAAAATTATTTGAACAAACTAATTCAGAGACAGCTGTACAGTCAAGAGCTGGCAGTACCTTTCGCCTTGTTCTCTTTCACTGAAATATTCAGCCAGAATTTGACGTTTCAAAACACCAAGTCAGCACAGGAAATTAGAAGTGCCAGCCAACCACAGGAGGGCCCTAGCACAATACAAAATGCTGCGCTGGACCACAGCCAACACCTCCCACCTTAGGTGGCATCTTGTTTTTCTATCTGTATGGAAGGAATATAAGTGGGGACTAATCACAGACCTCTCCCCTGGCATTGGAGACAGGACAAAATTACACGGTCCCTCAGTGAAAGATCCTGGTCAAGGGACGTCATGCCCCGAGCCCTGGGCCCAGGCTCCCTGCTCCTGCTTCCTACCCACACTGCACCCAGCTGGCCTGAACTGGACTTGCTCTGGGAGGGTTGGGAGGGGCTGCTTGGCTTCAGTGCACCTTGGCAAAGCCCAGAACCCAGAGCCACAGCAGTGCTGGGACAGCAGATGTACGGAATGTCTCTAATCACGTCCCTACTGACTCAAGACTTGGACATGAGATGTGACAATCTGATGACATTATGATGGCAAGTGAGAAGGGAGGAGGAGCTGGACCTGGGCATGTGGGCACCCATGAGGGCAGACGGGGCCTGGGAGGAGGCAGGCGGCAGGTCTAAGCTGGCGGTGGGTGGGGAAGTGTTTAGGCCAATGGCAGGAATGGGGGGATGAGCCACAGCCCGTGACTCTTTCTGGGATTTCACACAAATGCTGACCCAAGGGTCGTGTTCAGCCTGTGAGATATGAAGTATCTGGGCCACCCAGGTCTACTGTGACAAGCTTCTAGGCCACCTGGAGAAAAACCTTGAGTTCTAATGCTTGCTCAGGCAAAAACTGCTATGTGATTTGGACCTTCAGCCTCCCCACCCGTAAAATGGGGCTGCAGGGCTTTGATCAGCCCTGCATCCCTTCCCAACCAGACTTGCCATGTAGCCCTCTCCATGGACATTAATTTACTTTCCAATGAAGTCATGACAGCACTGGGCCTGCCACAACATGGCCACTGTGGGTCCCAGGGAGCGTGTGGCGTGGGCACAGACCTGTGGTGTGGACCGTGGCGGGCTCGCTCCTTGCGCTGGCCCCCCCCATGCCGAGGGCGCGCACGTAGATCGTGTAGCTCCTCCGGGGCTGCAGCTGCACCAAGGCCTCGCAGGTGGGGATACCCACAACAGACCTGGGCAAGGATGCAGAGCCACGGTCACGCCAGCCAAGCACCGGGCTCTGCCTGTGAACCCCTGCAGCTCTCCACCACCCAGGGGTGAGTGTGAGCCTCCTACACGGACAGTGTCCTTTGTACCATGAACTTAAATGGCTTGTTTTTGCCTCATGCCGTTCCCACTCTCCCCCTTGAACCCGGCATGGTGGGCCTTTCAGTTCCCGCGCCTGCGGGCGTTCCCGCATGCACGGTCCTCAGGCCCGGACCTCCCGTCTGTCCAGCTCTCGCTTTAACATCCATTCCGTGCAGCGTAGCTCCCCACCTCCCCCACTGATGCGTTTCTCTTTCCTTCACAGCACTGTGTTTCATGCATGTGTTTGTCTTTATGTTTTCCCCACTCGACTGTCAGCTCCTTAAGAGCAGGGAATGTGTCTCACTCTGACCAGAGACCAGAGCCCTCAATACTTGTTGAATGAATGGATAGTAAACCTTCGTTGAGCTAAAAAAGCAAACCTGAGATTTAACCATTATTCACTTATTGTTAGCTCATCATTCACCTTCAGTAACAGCGGTCTCGTGACTTCTCACGAAAACTAAGCAACTTAAGATTCAGGTTCCAGTGTGTCACAGAGTTTGACCTCCTCTCTAGACTCCACACACTTCTGAGCTGTGTCACCGTGTCAGGTGCGAGGCCTCTCATGCCCAGCAAATGCCCCTCGTGACTCACTCGGTGACGCCCGAGGCTTCTGGTGTGTCTTCCTGGGTCAGCTCCAGCGTGTACGAGTCCACAGGATTCAGGTTCCCAGACTCCCAGCAGATCAGCGCGGCCTCCTCGCAGCTCCTTATCTCTTTGTTCTTTATAATGGGGGGAGAAGGTGCTAAACACAGGGGAAAAGGAGAGGTGAGTAACCGTCCCATCTCTACCCAGCCTTTCTGTCCAGGGCACGGACAGAAACGTCACAGCTACTCTCTCCCCGCAAAAGAAATTCATGCAATAAAAAGCAAACCCAGTGCCACAGACTGAATGTGAACATCCCCACCCCGCAACCCCAGTTCATACAGTGGAACCTAGTCCCCAGTGTGACGGCATCTGCAGTCTCTGGAAGGTGACTGGGTCAGGAGGGTGCGGGGCGTTTATTATAAAGAGACCCCAGAGAGTTCCTTTGCCCCTCTCCTGCATGTGAGGACACAGCAAAAAGACAGCTGCCTGTGGGCCGGGCAGGGCTTTCGCCGGACAGTGAACCACGGGCGCCCTGGACTTCCCAGCCTCCAGAACTGTGAGAAATAAACGCCTGCGGTTTATAAGCCGCCACGTCTGTAGCCAGAATCCCAAGACACCAGGGGATCCCTGCGAGGTGTTCCGAGACTGGAGGACAGCTGCAGGTTCACATGGCCCTGTGATCAAGAGCAGTACTTTCGCCATTTTGAGAGCAACTATGAGAAGATGTATGCCAAACAAGGCATGTAGATTAAGTGTATTAAATGGAAGAAAAATACACAGCGATTCCTGTCCATCCAAATAAAACCAAGAGCCCTGCCACATCGAAAAAGCTGTGACTCCTGTGTCCTCTGGAACGAAGGTCTTGCTAGAGAAACAAGTGGCCCCCTTACCTGTCATGTACACTGCACATTCACTGGCAGGGCTGAGTCCAGCCCTGTTCTGAGCTGTGACCCAAAATTCATACTGGGTATTTGGCACAAGGTTTGTCACTAAGCAGTATGTTTCTTTGACAGTCATTGTAAACTCTGAAAAAAAAAAAAAGACAAGAATTCAACCCCCAAATAGGCCAAGTGGTTGCAAATTCGTTGTACTGAATCCCCCTGTTGTAGATTACAAAGCTGGCCATGCATTTTCCCCAGCCGTCTATGCACGCCCTCTGCCATGGACTCTGCTGAAAGAGAGTCAGTCTTTCTCACCATCCAGCTGGGTTTAGCCATGTAACTTCCTTTGGCCAATGGGACAATAGCAAACATGACTCGAACAGAGGCTTGGGAAGTGGGTGCACAGGGAACACTTCCGCTTGAGCCTCCTGCAGGATGAGACCACATGGACAGAAGCCCTGGCCATCCAAATCATTCCAGCCATCACAGCTGAGGCCCCAGATACATAAGCAAGGCCATCCTTGACCATCTAGCCCTACTCATGCTGGCCCAGACCAGAGGGGCTGTCTAGCCAACTCATAGAATTATGAGAAATAATAAATGTTTGTCATTTGAAGTCAAAATGGTGTATTGTGTGTAGGGGTGTTGTTATGTATCAAAGCTAACTGCTACACCTCCAAGCCTCCCCAGACTCTTAAAGACAGTGATAACTCATTAATTCACCCTCTGATACAAGTTCCTTTATAACAAAGTGGCCCGTTTAAAAGATCTTAGATTGCCATGGCACAGCCCCAACACAACAGCTTTTCCTGTGTGTCTGCAGAGGGGGCCAACAGGGCTGATTCACGGCCTAAACTGTGATTAACTAGTTCTGACTTGGTCCCCAACCTCCTTTTTCCCCTCCATGCCCTTTTTAGTGCTTAGACCACTCTTGCCCTCGCTCATCATCACTTAAACTTACTCCTACTTTTCTCAAGAATTTCCCACCCTTCCTGGTCTCCGGGCAGACAAAACCATCCTCACCTTCTGCACGCAGAGCCCTCCACCTGCATGACCTGGCACAGTGAGCAGAGCTCTTGGCAAGGAGCCAGCAGACTTGATTCTCATCCTCTGTCTGCCATAAATCACGGTGTCTCCATGGACAGCTCATTTGTGTCTGGGTCTCACTCAGCTTCTTTGTCCATAAGATAGAACTGAGTCCTTTCCCAGCAACCTCTCCCCACCACCCCACACAGGGCAGGCCCTGAGTCCTTCAGATGCTCAGCTGGGGCTCCTCTCAGCAGAATGGCTTATCTATTATGTGGGGTGCGGAGGAGGCAGTTACCCCAGTCCTCCCCGCAGACCAGTCAGCTCTACCTCCCTGGGAAGAGGCAAGGCCAAGAGGCGCCCACAGTGGGGCCACTCCCAAGGCCTGGCTCACCCGGGAATGCAGATCAGACCAGCAGGTGCCCTCACCCATCACTGGGGGCTGCACGCTGACTTGCCAGTCTCTCCCAGCGTGGTGTCGCTTTGAGGGGGACCCACCTGCCCTCACGTGCCAAGGCCTGTGAGGAACCCACCATTCCAGCTAGGTCTCCTCAAGTGACGCCACTCTCCCTGCACACAGTGTGGCCAGAGACTCATCTCAAGGACAGTGCTGACCTGATGGTGCAGATACACTCCAGACACCTCAGCCTGGCCTCGTGCCCCTCATCCTCAGTCAGGCTCGTCTTCTGCCTTTCTGCCATGCTCACCTGTCAACATCCCATCCTCTGGGGCATTCCAAATGGCAAGCAGATTCATCCCATGCCCCCTTCTCAACTGGTAGGAAGGCAGCACCCAGGCCCCCCAGGGCCTCCACCACTTCAGAGCGTGACTGTGCTCCTGGCAGAGGCTCACCTGCTTGGTCCTTCCCAGGCGAGCTGTCCCGCACTGGCCTGCAGGACAGCTGATAGCTCTCCACGGTGTCGTCGGAGTACAGGCTCCAGCACACTCGGACCGAGGAACCCGTGGCTGAGTTGGGGGCCTGCGGGTTGATCACTGGGGCAGAAGGAGCTGGGAAAGGAAAAGGGAGAAAAACAAACACCAACACGGAGACTTGAGCAGAGGCGCGGGTGGCGGTGGCCCCTTTCACAGGACCACTGGTCCCACAGTGCGCCCATGGGCTGAACAAATGGACAAGGATGGGTGACCAGACCCCAATCCTGCTTTAACGAAGGTACGTGAGCTTGGGGAGGAGGGGGTGGTGGCAGCTACTTAGGCAGGGCATGGCTTCCAAGTCCTGCACTCGCTATGATCCTCCACCCCTCCCATGCCGTCGAAGGGGTAGGACAGTCAGGCCCCCGGGACTGCTGCCCCAGTGAGTCTAAGAGTGGCCCCTGAGGTTCATTCTGGGATAATTTATGGTGGGAAAAAATCTAGAAACATCCAGCATATAACAGCTGGAGATTAAATAAATCAAAGTATGGAGCCATTAAAACCACGTTGGTCTTTACAAAATCTACGTAAAGAAAAACCTAAAAGGATATGTACCATATCGCTCACAATGTTGGGTGCTGGTGAGGAGGAAAGGTGAGCTGTCAGAAAAAACGCTGAATTCTGGTATTAATCTCAGAAATAAGGAATCGCAGTATTTTGGGGAGCTACCTGACACCATGTGACATGTACATACAGCTCCTCCTTTAATTCTCATCCTGTCCCCATGAGGTATTCTAATGTCCATTTTACAGATGTGGAAACCACGGCTCAGAGAGGTGAGGTCGCACAGCTAGGAAAAGGCAAGGCTGGGATTCCCACCAACTCCACAGGATTCCAAAGCTCATCTCTTAACCACCGGGCTGGTTAAGGAAATAAAATGCAGGCTCCTTATCCGGCATCGATTAGGAGAGCAGGTGTTCACAAAGCTCTCCAAACAAAACTATTTTGAGGCTGCTGGAGAGTGATGGTGGACACTGCCCCCTGGAAGGTCAGCCTCTGGCCTCACCCTTAGAAGCCATAAGGACAAAGACATGAAGTAAGAGGGACAAACACTCGTTTCCAAATCTTTCTGGTTTTTCTAGCCATCAGCGTTTCTAACTCGAGGTGCTGCGTACGTGGGATGGTGTTGATGGCGCCCAGCAGCTGCTCCACATCGGAGAAGTCCAGGGTCTGGTCTTCCAAGGCCGGCTGCGTGGAGATTTCCACGTCTGTTTTGGTCTCCAGGAATTTTCTAAGTCTGTTGGTATTAAAAAAACCCACTAATAAGAATGGAGGGGGCACCCTCCTCTGGGTCCATCCACTGTGCTGAGCCCCAGAGCCCCAGGAAAAGGGAGAAAAACAAAGACCAATGAGCAGACTTCAGCGGAGGCGCGGGGTAGGGCGAGGCGCCTTTTAGAGGGCCACTGGTCCCAAGGTGCATCCAGGGACCTTTAATACATAAAGGGGGCTCTGCTGAAACTTTCTCTAACAGGCTGCTGGGAGCCTTCTGCTGTCTGCTTCGGTGACTGACCCAGGAGACCACCTACACAGATGGGTGGAAATGGTCTGTGCATTCGAGGGGGAAGAGGTGGGGTCATGCTAGAGAGTGGGGCTGGGGGGACAGGTTTTGACAAGCTCCAGATCCACACCCTCTGAAGGACCCCTCAGGTGCTGACCTGGAAGCTCCCACCCCCCTGCCACCCCAGACCTAGGATGTACACTCTCTGCGGCTTCTTCACCACAGGCCAACCGCCCTCATCCTGCTAGCCGTGGACTAGGGCTCGGGTCCTCTAGCTCCTGCTTCCCGGCAGTCACGGGGCTTAGGTGGCAGGGGCAGAACTGGAAACCAGGTCTGTCTTCTGACAACACCCATGTTCCCAACCCTGCAGTGTCCATGTTGCTCTACAGACTTTGTCACTTCCCACAAAGCAAACCCTGTTTGCAGTAAGGAAAGCAGGTTGGATGGTTGGATGCCCACGGTCATGGGTGTAGCAGGACTTGAGCTCCCGTCTGACTCTGACATGCGTGTTTTCTGGGTGCTGGCACAGGTGGGGGACACTGGGACACTCTCTGGGTCTTGGCTCCTCCTGGTGAAACGAGGGGCTTGTGGAGGAGACTTGCTGTGGGCTTGCTGGCTAGGCCTCACCGCACTCTCTTCCAGCCCTGATTCTGAGCTGCGGGACCAGAGGGTACTCGTGAGCCCTCACCACTGTTCTGCTTATTCTGGGGGCAGACACAAAAGCTGAAGCTGGGAGCACACAACCAAGCAGAACTGAGTGTCTTTGGACAGCCGGAGGTATAAGGAAAAGAAGTAAATACACGTCAGAACAAAAGTATTACCTGTCAGCCATAGCCACAGCATCCTGAAACAGAGAAAAAGAGATAATATTAAATGGATTTTGGAAATAAATTTATTTTCCAAACTATATAATAATATAAACTATTTAAAAACTTGGAAATTAGGAAAAAGAAAAAAATCGGCCCCATCCCTCACTCTAACAGAGCCACTCTTACGAAGCCTGTACCGGCCCTTCCATGACTGCTGCTTTTTCCCAACAACATGACACAAGCACTTTGCTCCTTACAAACGGTCCCTGGGCCCGTCGATGTGAAAGCTGCGTAACAGATGGCTGAGGGGGACGCCCATCCTTCACGCGGCTGTTCTACTGCTGGACACTCTGCTTGCCTCCAGTTTCTCACCCTCATAAATAACAGTGAGACGCCCTCATGTGTACACTGTCTCCACCTTTGGGACTGTCTCGAGATACAGTGGGATCATGGGATGAGGGACCCTGGCTCAAAAGGTCTGAGCACTGGGTGCTATAGTGATGACTGCCAACCAGCTTCCCAGGTTCCATCACGGGTCCCGCACCCCAAGCGTGGCTGGAAGGAGGCGCTCTTGGGCTTTGAGGGACCATGGTGGGCTTGTTCAGAGTGGAAGCCATATCTGGCAACCAGGCAGCTCTGGAGGCTGAAGGGCTCTCCCCCACATCCTGGACGTCACAACTTCCCCAAGGTCCTAGGCGCCTGGTGAAGAAAAGGGACTGAGCTCTGACTGAGACTGAAATTCCCACAGCCCAGGTGCATGGGGGCTTGACGTGAGAGTTAACTGGATTTCAAGGAAATAAGAAACGGATTTTTTGCATTTCTAAGTTTATGAAGTAAGATTTGTAATCGCTGCTCTTGTAACTGGGAAACTGGGATGACTTTTTGGTCTGGACATGCTTCTCCCCAGAGCTCTAAGAGGCCATCTGAGGTGGCCAGAAGCACTGTTCCTGCTCAGCTCCAGAAAGAGGGGACGGATCTCTAGGTAACCAAAACAGAGGAAGAGACTCTGCAGTTGCCTGAGCAACGGTGGAGGGAAGGGGCGAGCTGTGTATGAGCTGCCTAGTCACTCATGGGTGACAGTCCCACTGTCGTGAACATCCAGTGGAATCTAACAGATGCTGACCATGGAAGTCGACTCCAACACCTCCAGGCAGAGAGGGGACAACCTAACCTACTCCAGCCATAACTGTCATTTCAGTTACTTGTTTTTACTTCCTTACTGACCTTTATGAAGTCAACCTTCTCTTGATGACACATCTCCTCGATTGTTTCCATCAGTTCTTTACAGGTGTCCAGATTTTCTCCACAGCTGACCAGCTGTCCATATAAGGCTTCGAGTTTCTCTTTCTTTTTCTCCCCTAGAGCTTGTATTTTTTCTTCATATTTTTGAGCGAGTGTTTCCAAGATCTCGTTGTAATGGGACTCAAAGTTTTGTTCTTGTCTTCCAAAATTCTCCTGCAAGACAGTGGACCTCAGTCATTTCAGTGCATGTGCTGTGTTGACTACAGAGTCATTTGGGGCGTAAAAATATATTTACCCAGAGATATTTTAGTACCCGTCATCTTATCGTCTTCTGTCAGGATGCTGAGGTGGATGCAGTGGGGGCTAGGGACCAGAAGTCTCCAGGTAGAACCCAGGGATAATCTTAACAAAAAACACTGCTTTTTCTCCTGGCATCATTTTGCCATTCCCCACTCCCACTCTCTACCCCACATCTGTTTTGGCCACCTCCCATCACCATGACAACCCACCAAGGAGATGATGAGTCAGCCCACCAGTGGAACCTTGGACCTGAAGACAGAAATGTTTGCTGGGGCAATTCCCACCATCTGTCTTTCCCTCCCGAGCTCTCGACATCTCATGACCCCCTCCTCCACTCCCTGATGTCTGGATTACACAAATACCAGGACTACACAAATACTCATATCGACTAAGAGAAAGATGGAGGGGGAGGGGAATAAGGGTTGTGACAGATGGTGCTGCCTAATGGATGAGAAAAGGTAGGAAGGCAGAGGGAGGGTGGTGACAGTACTTAATCCGGGAGCACAATGGATGAGAAACACTGATTAGAGCATATCAACTCCTGATGTCCATTACTTAGACTGGAAGCACAAGAAAGCTCTGTGGGTTCTGTCTGATGTCATCCCTATCAGATAACAGGGTCATTTCCAAAGAGGCTCTGATCAATCATTCAGGGGTGTTTACTGAACATCTACTATGTGTAAGCCTTGCTCAGAATGGCAGAAGAGAGGAAAAAACAGCAGAGTGAAAAAGCAAAAGTTCAGAGTCCTCACTGAGGTGAAGATACTCTGATCTGAGCGTGAGCTGGCTGCTCAGAGTGTAGGGAGCTTTGTCCTGGACGTTGGGCACTTATCCCTCTTACCACCTCCCTGGGCTTGGAAGAGGAAGGGTTTGTCCCTTCTCTAGGGGATCAGTGCAACAGCTCTCCTCCCTTTTAAGATTTGGGGTGAAGGAGGTCTAGCTTCATGGAAAGGGGCCTGGGCTGTTAATTCATGCAAGGTGCTCCTGTTGTTTCAGTCCGAGGCTGCATTACTAGAAGTAGAACATCCACATGAAGGGAAGGGAGAGGGAAGACCCCTGGTCCTCAGTCCTGGTCTACCTCACCTGGGTGGCAGCAAGTATCGTGTTAATACACCATGCCTACTGGGCACACCCAGGGGCCTGTGATGTGTTTGGGGACAGGAACGGAAACTTGTTAATCTTATGAGAAATAGGTAATAGCTGAGAAAAAGAATACTTATCAGTGACAAGATGGGGGTCTTGCAAAGCTGTGCTACGGTGGCCCATGAGAGTCCCGCTTTGTAGTAGGACTGGGGATATAATAACGCAAAGACACGGTCTCCCTCCCGAAAGCCTATGGTTCTGCAGAGAAAGCTGGCAGGTAACTGGTTCCGTGAGGTGTAGGCCCAGGGTGCTGTGGGAGGGAGGGGTTTGAGTGGAGAAGGGCAGCAGTGGCGCCACATGCTCTAAGACAACGGATTCTCTGCCTCGCACTGGACGCAGCTGCTGCCCCAGCCGCTGACGGAAGCAAGCGTGTCTGACGGGCTCGGCAGTGGGCTCTTACCTCTACAGTGATAAAAACCTCCTCTAAGTGACTTGCAAAATTTTCCATCTCGATAATTTGCTTTTCCAACTTGTACATGTTTTTGTGAATTTCATCCTATCAAACAGAGGATCACAAGAAGACGTTAATGCTACATCTTTTCTCTTTTTTGTAGAAGACACTTGAGATTTGCTCCCTGCCTACATACTTGAGATGTAGATGCAAGAGAAGGGAGGACCAGGGAGACCCATTTACCTTGGCACTTTCCAGTGCTTTATTGAGTGGGGTCACCTCATGCTCTCTGTGTTCATCAAGAACCTTCTCCAGGGCTCTTATTGGAGTTTTGCAAGTGACACAGAAAACGTCAGCAGCTTCTTCCTCATCTTCCTCCTCTGGGATGACGTAGCACTCATACTCCTCGCTGGCTCGGCCATGCGTGTATCTGTAGGCTTCCCGCAGGTCCTGGCACTCGCCCGCTGAGCCCCACACTCTGAAGCTCAGGTCCTCAGCCTCAGCTGCCTCTCCGCTAAGTCTCCAGCCCCTCTGCTCACTGGCTGGTTCTCCCTCCGTCATCATGTAAGGAGGATATTCTGAAACCTCTATTCTCGGCATGTTTTCATCAACAAACTCATCCCCTAATTCGTGGTCATCTTCAAGTCCGTATAAGTGGACAAGTTCATCCACTTCCTCTTCGAGGTCTCTTCGAGGCTTACCTTTTGCTAGGCCTCTTGGTTCACCAGTCATTTCGGCTTGGACGACTTCTCTTCTCATCCTACTGCTTTCTTCTGGGAAGATCTGCAGCCTGTCTTCAGAGTCGTACGGATCCACGTGATAAAGGTGGAAGTCCCTGGGGGCAGTCGGCCTGTCCAGCTCCGGCGCCTCCTCAGCTCCCTCCTCCATTGTCGCTCCGGAAGCCCTGGCAGCACCTCTGCACTAGAAAGATCCTGCCTGGGCAGTTAATAGTGGATATTACGGGTCCTAGGACACAGAAAGAGGAAGACAACTCCATTTCTGAGAAGGTCATTGCAGGAGATAATCATTAGATTGGGCTCAACTCATTTGTAATTTTTAAAAATCATCTGAGCAGCTGAGTTGGGGTTTTAAATCTATAAAGAAAGGTTTGCTCTCTACTGGAGGATTTTTAGATAACGTAAATTTTCTAAGGGGATTCACAAGCAAACAATTTTGAAGACCACTGATCCACACACACAAAAAGGAAGATCCTTTTTGTTTAGAGAAGCAGTTCACCCCCTCGCCCCCATTTAAGTCACAAACAGGTACAGTTGACATTCAAATATTGGCCTAAATTTCCATGTACCAGAATGGCTGCACCATGGTAATCGACCTGTACAAACACTTTATTAACACGTATTCGTACATAAAACCAGGATAATGCGAGCTGTTTATCTTATCCCCTAATATCCTTTTAAAAATAAATTTATTGAAATAGAATTTAATTACCGTAAAATTCACCTGTTTTAAATGCACAATGCAAAAATTTTTAGTAAATACCCTGAGTTATTCATATAATCATTACCACAATTCAGTTCCAAAGGCCCCCTTTTTAAAAAAATTGTGGTAAACCTAATCCTTTAAAGAAAGATACTAATATTATTAAACTACTCCAACATGACACATATGAAACGGGTTTTGAGTAAAATAACAAAGCAAAAAAAAATTTTTAAGGTAGTTGAGCACGTTTTCCCCCACAGCCATAACTTTTATGATCCAAACAGCTTCCCTTAATTTCCACGCATGGGCTCAGAGCCAGCAGCCAGCTGTCTGCCTTGCCTACTTGTTCTGCACAAGTTGTACTTGTACGCAGAAGTCAGGTTCAGTGGCTTCCCCTATCAGCTTTGCTTATCTTTCTTTGTGACCTGCACTAACAGAACATCCTTTTAATAGTCCAAAGCTATTTTTAAAAAAGCCATTCATTTGTCTTCCTGCTATTCCCATTTTTCATTGCAGTTTTTAATATAACATTTTCTGACGGCCTAATTGTGAAATCCATGGACAGAGTCCCAGGTCCTCTTGACTGTTCTGGGCCATTCGATCCTGTTGACCCTCCCTTCTCCCCATGCTCAGCTATGCTCTCCTGCTGGCCAATGGCTGCTCAGGTCTCGGCTGAGTCCCACGCCAGCTGCTCTTCACACGCTGGCATTCCTCAGGCTTCCATCCTATTTCCTCTTCTCACTCTCCACCTGCTCCAGGTGTTCCTGTCCACTTCTCTGCTGATGGCTCCAAATCCCTGCCTCTGGCCCTAACCTCAGCCCCACACAGAGGCAGAGGTTTAGAGGTCAGTTGTCTTCCTGGACCTCTCCAGTCATCTCAGACTCAGCACTGCCCGATGCAGCTCATCACCTCTCACTTTCTCCACCCTGGTGTCTGCTTCACAGTCCCCCAAGTGACAAGGCTGCAGTCACATCCACATACCACACCGAAGATGCCTGGAGGCCCGGCTGGCCGAGCAGACTTCCAAAGAATCCACTGTCTTCAGCCTCTCTGCACCCTGGCCTTCAATGTCTGTGACGACCTGAACTGATTGTCTGGGTCCCAGTCCCCCCAGACCTTCCTATTATAGGCCCTCTGTTTCATCCCTCTCCTCCAGACTCCCTCTGCAGAGACCAAGGATCCCTTGGCTTTTCTACCCATGCCCTCGGGGGAAAGAACTCAGCTCTCTGTTGAAGTCCAGTCAGAGATACACTTTGCCCTATTGGTCCAGATCTCCCTGCTCACTCCTGTGGACGGGCAGCCAGGCTCCCCTTGCTGCCTGTCCCCACGCCCTCTGATCTGTCCTGCAAGCCACAGGGAAAGGCTAAGGGAGGTAATGAGGGCAGCAGAGGACTGACCTTTTCCCATATCTTGCCCCACTTTAGGAAGGTGTGACCCAAGAATAAGAGGTTCTGGATCCCAGTGACAGAGACCTGAGCTGAGCTTAACGTGGAGGGCCACCTTTCTTCGTCTGGGACTCTGCACTAAATACCACTCCCAATCTCTTCGTGGCTATAACCCTCCTTAGAAGTCCCTTGCACACCCCTCAGTGGGCTCACTCCAGCTCTTGCTGATGGCAAGACAAAAACACCAGAACTGAATGGCCTTCTCTGACCATGGTGGGGACAGAGGGTAAGTGACAACACACGGGCCTGGTGAGCCCATGGGGCTCTTCTCTCTCTTCCCTTCACTGTGAGGTCCCCACAGGATGCTATTTTCCCATTTCCTCCATCAGCACCACTCAGAGGTGGAGTTCCAGTAGCCATTAGGGGACAGAGACACTGCTATCCTAACTCTGTGCCATGTGTACAATTGGTTTCTGGGTCTGGATCCCAAGAAGGAAACTTTACCCGAGACTCCAAGACGGCCCATAACACTTGGAATTCAGAAGAGCTTCAGTCCCACTCTCTGACACTCCCAGACTCTTCATGAGGAAGAGGATGGTAAACATCACTTCAGCAATGTCTCTTAAGGCTGAGGACACAACCATGCAGGATCAGCCCGCAATGTGCCAGTCCGCTGTGTCCTGTACCAGCAGCAGGTCCTTGGGGACCTGGTCCATCCACTAGGTGCGGGGGAGGGATGAAGATAGGCCACTCCCAGAGGCAGCATCACAAAGCAAGTGGCTCTGGGGCTGGCGCTCTGCCTCCCCAACATCGTGACTCACGAAGATCCGAGCACCTGCATTTTCTTTTGGGTCAGTCCTCAGAACCCTGCCCACCATTAGACCCTGGCTGAGGCAGTCCTGGCTTGTCCTCACCACCACGGCCTGTTTTAGGGATGAAGAAATGTGGCTGCAAGTGAAGGAGGACACGTCTTCTCCCAACAAAAAAGGTAATTATGTGTAACAGTGGAGGTGGTAATTACTCCTGCTGTGGTAATTATTTCACAATATATACATGTATCAAGTTGTTACACTGTACCGTAAACTTACACAATGTTATATACAAATTATGGCTCCATAAAGCTGGAGAAAAACCCCACTGCATAGAAATAATGTCTTACCATTGACACTTGCTTTGGGCTCTGGCATGGCATCGTGGAGAAAGGAGGAGGGGAATGAGATGGAGGGCAATTAGATCTAGAAATGGAACCGGGTGTTGGGGTGGAGAGGGTCGCACCCCCTCTCCAGGGGTCTCTAACTAGCCACCAGCAGCAGTAGGTCTCCTGAGCTCAGCAGGTCCCCTGTCTTCACTCCACCTGGGCTCCTGGCTGCTGTCTCTACTTCAGGGGCACTATGAGCCCCACCTGGCCATGCCAGAGTTTCAGAAGTCCTGGACCCAGCATGCTGTGGGCAACACGGAGTGACTTGAGAAGTCTGCACCCACACAGACCGTGTGGGGAAGCCTGAGGTCCTTCTATGACTCCAGCTGAACCCCGCCACATTCAGTGTCCCAGCACTGACTGTTCATGGGGCTGAAGAGGTGTGGATTCAAGAGAACAAGACTGTGCCAGCCAGATGCTGGGGTACAGTGAGTGAGACATAATTCTTGGTGAAAAGGAGGCCCCAGACATGGGAATAAGCGATGGCTCTGTGTGGGGCTGACGCATAGCTTCTCGGAGGCACCACTTCCCTCTGTCCTGGAACTCCAGGTACCTCCCCCTCCTAAAGCACAGGCTCTGCTCACACGGGACAAAATCACACTGTTCCGCTCCGTGGCTCCAGTACCCTACCTGAGTGCCATATTGGCTCTCCGCGTGGCTGTCCCTAACCAGCAGACAGCCCTCATCATTTTGCTTTGCTCGGACTGAAGTGGTAGGTCTGCACATCCTGCATTCTGAGGACTCCATTGCTGACCAGTCTCGGCTTCCCTGGGCCCCAGCTCCGCCTCCCTGCAGTCTTACCTTCTCCACTGTTCCTTCCGACCACCCCCGGTATCCTCCCACGTAGGTCCCAATCAAGGCCCTGGCTCAGGCCGTTCTTCCAGAGCCCCCCGCCTTCCCCATCTCACCACCGCTCCTTAAACCCCTGCCCATCCACCACGGCCAGTGCCTGTCACATCCTCCATGGGGGCCATGGCATTCCTAATATCCATAATAACAGCATGACACCCACTCCCTTCAGCACCCAAACTAGAGACCAGGAGCTCATCCTTGACACCACTCAATCTAATGAATGCCCGATTAATGCCGACTCTGATTCATGCTCCTCAATCTTCAAGTAACGTCCCTCTGTCCCTCCCCACGGCCACTGCCCCTGGATTCACAGTCCTGCGCCTGCTCTCTGTCTCTGCTACTTCCCAGCAGTGTAGCCTTGGGAAGATCATCTCTCTGGGCCTCACTCTCAAGAGTCCGTGAAACAGGTTTATCAACAGTTTCTACCTCATAAAGTTGGCATTTAGATGAAATAACACAATGTATGTAACATGCTTAGCATAGTACATGGCTAAAAGTAAGTCCTCAGTAAATGTTAGCTGTTATTGTTGTTGTTGTTATTTTATTATTATCTGGACCTCAGCCTCTCCCACCTGAACGAGGTTAGAAGTCTCCTACCTGGTCACTCATGGAGGGTGAGGACCAGGGCCAGAAAGTGAAGTCACAGTAGTCACAGCAATGCAGAGTCATCTGTGGCCACTGCGGGATCATTCTATCCTTTGAAACAGCTGGAGATAGGAGAAGCCACCAAAGCAGAGCAGCCTGAGGCCCAGGCCCAGACACTGGCTATGAGATCACCCCTGCTCGCAGCAAGAGCTCTCAAGGGACCTAGGCAGAGAGGCAGAATTCCAGGATGGATGGTCCCTTGCAGAACATCAGATTGCATTTCCTGATTTTAGGATAGCAAAACTGAGTTCCTGTAAGGATAAAGAGCTGATTTCACTTCACAAGGGTTGATCTGGGGCTACTCTGTATCAAGCTCTGTGCTGGGTGCTAGATACATAGCCAGGCAGGTGAAGAGTTGGATCTGGACGACTAAACCACAACTATACACTGAGGAGTGGCTCACTAAAAATAACACGTTTCCACATGCTACCAAAAGGGAGAAAACCAGAATTCTGTATGACCAATAAATCATGAGAAATTCTTTCTACCAGAAGCTGGAAAACACTGAGCGCGAATGCTAATGAGACGTTCCTCCACTCCAGCATTTGCCCTTTGAACACAAACACAAACTGGTCTGGGAGCTCAGGTCACAGTAGGAACTTTGCAACATACCCCCACAGGTGACACTCACTTTTCCTGCTCGACATTCAGATTCTTTCGGTTTGTTAACAAAATATTCAGAATTGGGGGAGGAACATTAATAATAAATTGTCATTTTAAAAGTTATAAAACTGAGGCTTAGAGAAATAAAGTAATAAATCACAGTCTATACTGAATATAATAGCTAAATAGCTTCTACTCTATGGCATAGGCTGCAGTTAAAAATAAAAAAAACATTTGCAAGTCTCATATGGGAAGTGTATCCCTGTGCTTTAATTAGAAAAGTCTCCCCCTAAAATGTTTTTTAACCATTTATGGGTCACGGGTGCCTCTGAGCATCCACTGAAAGCTGTGAACTCTCTCCTCAAAAGCGAGTCCATAAAGTCGCATAGTTTTGTATATAATTTTAGAAACACATCCAGGTAGCCCTAGCAATTTGAGGCACAGCTAAAAAAATCTGCTTTAAAGTGTAAGCTGTACCATTATGCAAAATAGTACAAATCAGCTTTACAGACACAGTCCAAACCTGAAAACTCTATGGAGGACGGGGTGTGCATGACAAATGCAAAATGATGACAGTGCTGTTTTTCAGTATTTGATTCAAAGCATGGAATTACGATGTGTCAGCACGCACATTTGGGGTTCCAAACTGTTCTAGTAAATGGGCTCCTACACTAAAAATACCCTCAAGACACATGGCAGGAATCACTAGCCTCTCTTATCTGCACCAGAGGCTTTCACTCTGTACCCAACACCACATTCAGTAAAGGTGAATCCTTGCTACAAAAAGGCACAGAAAACATTCACAGTTTATTGTAATTTACACATTTGCAATTTATGATGCTATCCCTTCCCACCTAAAGGAAAGATATTGCATTAACAGTGTGGCATTAAGTTACTGAGTTTCAATAATATAATCTGCGTTAGAAGAATGTGACTACCCAAAAACTTGCCTGCTCTTCTTTTCACGCTGAGGCCGTGGATAACTGCTAGAAAACTG